TATATATGAGTTTGCCAGAAGGCAACTTTCTTCCGAAAATAAATCACATCTAATTAGTGCAGTGTGTAATAGAAAGAAAGAGAACTGAGCAATAATATGTATAAAATGTGAGCAATGAAACATATTTTTGATGATGAAGTTTCAGCGGTTAGCTAAGATGAATAACCATAAACTCTTCTTCGCCTAAAAAAATCCCTTCTTATTGCTTTCGTTAAAGAATTTTTATAGTTTCCATTCGCGTTAAAGCTTTCTTCTCATTTGCTTGTTATTGCACCTGCTATTCGTTCATTGCATTCGTTCTTTATTCATTCAGCAATACCGCTGCGGTCGTATATCGTCGATATTTTTAATCCTTTCGCTATTATTAAAATAGCAGTTCGAGCGGTGCATCAGCAGATTGTCTTTATATTACAACTAGAAGAAGCATTAGTAGAATGACGATACTACCAATTACTTAAATCATTATCACTGTTCATTACAGATGAGACTTGAAGACAACACCCATTCGAAGACAAGCACAAAGTCGTGTGCTAAAAATTTCATTGTGTTTGTTGTTATTGATTGCGTATAATTGATATGTATGCATATGTGTTTGCGAAGAGTCAGATAATGAATAAATGAGCGAATGAGTGGATCAAATATGAATGCAGTACCAGTGGTAGTCGTTGGTCTGGATTTTGAAGTGTGAACTTGAAATTTTGAAGTATTTTTCTTTTTTTGTGAAAATATGGACGACGAACGTTGATTGATGATACATATAGGCAGTGGGGGATATTGCTCGTGTTGGACGAATGGAATAGAGGAGAAAAAAATTTCTGTTGATAAGTTGCTAGGATAGAGAATAAATGGAATGATTAAATGAACTTAAACTGATTTTACTCGCAATGTTGACAAGGATGAAGCTGACGAGAAGGAAGTCAATCAACTAAGAAAATTTAAGTAAAATCAAGAACGAACCAAGAGGTCTTTTCTTGATTTGTTTCAGTTGTATTTCATTTTCGCATAATGTGCTCCTTCAGTGAAACGAACAATCATCATTATCGTCATCTCCGTTAGCTTCCCGAAGGAAGGAATGAACGGACGGATAATTGCGCGAGCATCACCTGATTTTCGTAATCGGAAAGAATTGAGTGGATCTGATTTAATGTTGAAGAAATTTGATCAGTGATTGAATGCTGACGAGAATAATGCTGTGTTGAATCTAACGAAGAGTATTTCGTGCATCGACTGGAACAATAAGGCGGATTCTGTTGTTGACGTTAACAGAGTAGTGCGATAAGCTGCGATAAACTGTGAACATCCAAGTCAACCAGTTGTTCTGAAGTGAATCTGGTTTGATTCGAACGAATTATAAAAATTGAAAAATTGATAATGATCAACGAATAGAACAGATGGAAAGACAACTGGAACGATGTGTGAACTGATACCACACGACGTGAGCTCGTATACAGCATGTGTGACGAGGTGCTATGACCCCACTTGAAAATAATATCTTACCAATTACGCATCACATAGTAAAAGAATCTCAACCATTTTCGTTTCGTTTAATGGTCTGTCGCTAATTAATCACTGTTCACATTAGACGAAATACGCCGCACTCATTTACATACTACATGCTGTGAGTGAATGAGGGAGGGTTACACTGAAGCTGTGATCGTGACTATTGTTGTTGTTGTCGTTATCAAAAAATCAATCAAAATACATCGATGTCAAATGATGATGACCTTTAGTGGAGTATACGAGCGACACTCGTGTGTTTCGTGTCATCAGCATTCAGTAATTTATTTCATTCGGTGGCCATTAATCATTTCATTGATGGGCAAGTAGATATATATGTATATGTATATAGACTCACAGATATGAATCTTGAAATCTATTCATCTCATCACTGATCTCGTTTTTTCGTTTCATTTCATGTACATTTGCATATCACAATTTCACCCTTCTTACGATTAGTGTTTTTTTCACTATTTTCTTTCACTTGCATCTATCTGTGAATTATTCGGGGAAACGAAACGGAACAACCGCGCAAGCGAATATCAAAAATATAATTATGAGGAGGCTATGGGGTTGATGGTACAATGACAATCAACATAATGCTGATCTTCTTAATCTAATCATATCCCTCGCTTTGATACAACACTATCATCAAATCAATTGCAACGCAGCACAACGGCTGCCTGCCTGCATGCACTATAGCCAGTGTCGTCAGCCTGCTTGCATGCTTGCACATTCTTTATCCGTCATCACAACCATTTGAAGATGAACAACCGCCATCGAAACGTTCACCAATATCAGAAAATTACTTTCATTCTAGAGTTGAAGAAATGAGCTTGTCATGATAATAATTATGTCATTTACTGCTTTTATATATTCACCACATAAGAAGAAGGTAGAAGAAGCACACGACAGCAGGGATGTTCCTGGTTGATTTGTGAGGGAGGATGAGGACGAAAGATTCGATTCACGATGACAGACATTAGGCAGTGCGCTGAGCATGAGCGTATTGGCGGTGTTGCTGTGCTAATGGTGCTCGTATCCATTCATGTGCAAGTGTTGTGCGGGCGCGCGTCTTTTACTGCGACTGCGACGGTGGCGTTTTATGGATGCGGAGATTTGATTTGAGGGTTGAATGAATAATCAGTTGTTAGATGGACTGAATTCGTTGGTTGCATTCGCATTTCTATTATCGTCGTTGGATGGTTTTGACTTAAAGTTAACGAACGATCTGATTACTGTGAGCAAGTCGTGGTAATTATAGAGACGGTAGGAGTAGAAGAAGAACGGCGCGAGACGATGCTAGGAGGTATCTTGCGTGTGCATCGCTCCATTTATTCCTTCTGCATCTTCCATCTAGTTCAACATATCCAGATCTGATATCCTCTCATCAAGCTTCAGATAATGAATAATCTGGTTTGATCTCAATTGCCAAATCCTCACTTATCTTCTTCTAGCCGAACATCCAGCCGTAACGTCGGATCATCTTAATCCATTATCGACCTCTCTAGATAGATAAACGTTGTTTGCAGCAGCTGCTGAAAGAACAGCAAAACGGCGGCTATTTACACAGCTACAGCGACGACTACTTGTGGCTTCAACAATAAGAAGTTATTGATCAGGAAATATAGCAAAAACAGCATCACTACCACAACGAATACATACCATTATCTTCAGCTTCATCGGTTGCGAAGCCAGCATCAAAATCTGCAGCAACAACGGCAACGGCAGCAAGGCATGGTGGCTGGCTTAGTGGCTGCAACGTCCGGTAGCACTGCTTCATTTGCTGCTGCTGCTGCTGCTGCCGCTGCTTCTGTTTGGCCAACCAAGCCAATCGTTCAGGTTCGTATCACTCATACACCAACCTCTTTTAAGAGATCATAAATGGTGTTTGTTCCGTAATATCTATCACCTGCTTACCTCACCGCCACTCTTCGTATTATTCATGATAGTATCATTTTGCTCGTAATTAACGACAGCCACTGATGATTCAATTATTTAATGAACGGTCAGTCTCTCCGTGCAAGTTACAGTTTTGGTCAACAAATTAGCCAGTGATTTATTTCCCAATTAATCAGTTTTTTAGTTGGTCGACTAACTGATCCATCATCCACTTGATGTGATCTAGTGTAGTGATAACCGTTTGATTTTACCATTTTAGCACTAGTGTTTTGATATGATCACCTGCATTAGCCATCAGCTACACCGCAGCGGCTTGTGGACATCAATTTGCCCTCTTTCAGCCTGCAGTTCTGTGCCAAATGTCACTTTTCTTGAAATATACCATTCACTTTATATGCAATCATCACAATTTTCTCACTGATTGTTACTCATTTCAATTTTAATTGCAGTTAATAGACTTTAAAGCAGGGTTTCCCGACCGGGGGTCCATGGACCCCCTGAGGATCCGAGGCGGCCTGCTAGGGGTCCGAGAGAGGGTAGGGTGCGATAAGAGGTGCGGGAGGGGGTTTGGGATAAGGTCTTATTTTTTATGCATTAAACCAGGCGACGACGGTGCTTACATAGATGCAGAGTAGACAAGAATGAACTTCAACGTATAGCTACGTTGACATTTTTCTAGAGGGTGCACGGAGCAAAGAAGATTGGGAACCTCTGCTTTTCAGTATACTGATGCTGCGTTTATGTTATATATTTGCGTATGGCTCGCTTGTCCATTGTGGTTATGCTTGTTTTGTCGATAGTCTTCATTTTTACTGCTACAGTCTCATTTCTATGAATTAATCAGCCAGCCCACGGGTGACCGACAAATGCATCTACGACAAGTCTAACTCCGATCATGCTACTCAATGACGAGGCACGTCGCGCAGTACGACTTGCACCTTGTCGCGCAGTAAATTATCGTAGACGCAGATAAACTACAGAAAAACAGTTGATTCCAGATTCATAATCAACATCACCATGTATTTCATTAGAAATCCTCATCAATATCTCAGGTATTCTCTCAGTGAGAAATGTTCCTATTATCTTAGGTTTATGGACGAATAACGAGTAATAGCAAGCTTCTGTAATGGTGCTGTTATAAAAGTACGACTTGCTGCGCTTGGCGATATATCATCTGTACATCCATTCATCCATTTCACTATTCTTGTCTTATTCAAGCGGGCACACATATCTGAGCTTGTCTTATGTTTGTATTTCGATCTGTATTTACTATACTATCTGTATTTATCAATCACATTCACTGTCTATGATGATATGTGCGCATAAAAAGAAATGGAAATGAATGTACATCCCGTAGTGTAGAAGTGAAAGAGATGTAAGTAAATAAAGGAGTGAGGAATGCATTAAGTATTTATGTAGATGTTGTGTTTGTTGAAGAGAAGGATTGCTAAAGATTGATAGATATACTGATGGATGGATGAATATGAATTGTGAACGAATGAATAGACGAAATGACGATTACTAGCGAGGCAGACAGTTAGTTGGTTGGTGAGTTAGTTGGATGGATAGATAGGATAGGATAGGATATCTACTGGCTGGATTGGTGACGCTAAGATGGATGAACAAACGAAATATGATGAGGAAGAGGACGAGGATGATGATAGGCTGTTGTATAAGCTGAACGACTCGACATCAGGAGATAGGTTTTATATTTGGATGGATTGATGCGTTATGTTGTGTCAATGTTATGTGATGTTATGCTAAATGGAATTGGCTTGGCACTCTAGGAGAACCGCCAGTGGCTGTATTCGCTGGATGTTCGTGTTTGGTTGTCGTCACTGTTTCGTGCGGTGATGGATGTTGTGAAACGGCTAGCTAACTAATGATTGTCGTCGTTGTCGTCAACCAAATGAAATTGTTTGCTGGATACAATTTACTCTTGAGTCTGAAGAAGGCAATGGTGACGGCTTGCTTAGAGTGAGTGAATGTGACACAACGAACTGACGAAATTACTTCATACTACTAAGTGCTGCCACCAATACTACTGTTACTACCATAACAACTGCAACTGCCATCACTCACTCACGGACTCATTTTTTTAAAACCTACACACTTACGATTCAATAAATGAACATTAATAATAAGATGGGGTAAAGCCATATAGCTGTTGCGGCAGCAGTTGAAGTAGCAGAAGCACTAAGGATTATGTTTAGTTGATGCGTATATAGATGAACAGATAGATAATGTAGGTAGAGATAGGTGGTGAAGAGATGGATGGATAGATGGATGGATACAGGATTATGGCTTGCTGTGGTTGTATCGCTAGTGCTACTGGTTGTGCTTAGTTAACGTTAGTTGCTGACTGCTGCCTTAGTGCAGAGTTAGTGATCGAGATCAGTGAGATGATTGCTGATGATGCTTTAAGGTTGATGAACGGTGCTAGTACTTTTAGCTGTTTAATGACCGGCAGGCAGCCTGTGCTGTGATGAGATGAGATGAGCTAATGCTTTTACGGCCTTAGGTAGCACCATCTTCTCGACAAGATGGTTTTAGCCTTTCTTTTCATATCTCTTTTCTTCGTACTCCTGCCAGGAATTTTCGTCTTTTTTTGCTCGTTTTTACTCACTCTTCGCATATTGTCGTTACCGATCTTCTTTGTCCCTGTTCTCCTTTATTCATTCTTTCATCCTTTCACCATACCACGATCAAATCATTTTGCTCAGCCGCAAACGCAGCAGCTAACATCCATCACTACCACTTAGAGCTAGCTATTACCTACAACAACAAACAGTCGTAACCCCTCTCCCTTCAACCTTGCTCGCGTGCCCCTCCCTCATCGCATACGATGCCCTTCTACTGTTTATTGAATAATCATGTACACATATATGCACTTTTCTTCGTTCGTCGCTTTGTTCGTTCATTCTTTCGTTAACATTTTTTTGATGTTCATCAGACGACGTGTGTGATCGCTTCGCTCCTCTGTAAATCGAATTCATATTGTTAGCCAGCCAACTGCTGACCAGTCGACACAGCAATTCATTAATTTTATCGAATCTGATTCGTTTATAGAGTTTGAAGTTGTATCGTCATCGTGTTCATTTTTCCTTTATTTCTCGCATTTCAAGCGTTGTCAATTCTTAAGTGAACAACAGTGTGTTGTAGGCTCTTTATCTGACCCACTGATTGTTCTTCACCATAATTTTGCCTGAAAGTATATACTCATTAATACAAAGTAAAATATATACAAAAAGAGAAAAAAATACTCATTTATGAGGTGACCGTCGTAATTTGCCAAGTTCTCACCTGTCAGCAGCAGCAAAAACAGCAGTAAAATTCCTATTTTGTACAAGCCAACGGTGGTCCGGCCATCTAAACTTCAGCGATTTTTTGTCTTTTTCAGTGCATCTTGAATCATTTCTGTTGGGGTTCACTGATAACTGACTTCAATCATATA